GTCAGGTCACAGAAGGGAGATCCTAGTTCTCATCGTTCTCATGCATAGTTCTGGAGGGCCTAGAACTGAGCAGTACATGAGTATTTGGGTCAATACGTGTTGTTAACTCATGGTGTTCTTTAGAACTCCTGATTTGGAAAAGCTAATTAAAAAGCTGGATTAATCTGAGTTTATTTACTTTGCTCCACTCTGGGTGCAAGTGTGAGACAGTCAAGTGACCTTTTCAATTTTTCAGTTTAATGTAGCCAGCTCTCAGCCTCCTCATCTTTACGTTTGATAGTAATGAAAACTAAAGTCCAACCAGGTTGTTTTCACCTTTTCTCATAGGCACTATTTTCCCAATAGCATTATTACTCTCCTCAATAAAATGAAAGTGAAATGCATTTTTATGCCAATATTTCATAGACAAGACAGAACTCGGACACATTAGCCGCAGTTTATGTTCTTCAGAGGAAAACCATGACGCTGTAAAATGTTTGCTGCACTATCTGAGGTTCTTAATGGAAATTGCAGGAGGTCAGAAGATCTCTGGGCAGTGTATGCACCTCCACAGGGGAACTGACTGCCTATCTTCTGCTGAAACTTCAATGAGGCCTGCATCCTAGCCAGGTAGGACCAGGGTCTTCCCTCTCGTCTCTGGTTCTGCGACTTTGTTTCATGTGCTTGCCTTGGGCCAGTGCTGTACACCGCACAGCCTGGGTGGGAGTTGCAACCTGAGATTGCTCCTGAGTTATTCCATTTGCTCCAGCTCTACTGCAAAATTAAATACCTACCTTTGACCTCAGATCACTACTGTGCTGCTATTGTTCATTTCGCTTTATTATTGTTGTTATTTTATCGGGTTGGCCAAAAAGTTCATTCGTATTTTCCCATAAGATGGCTCTGATAGCACTTAGCTGTCTTCAATTTCATTTTAAACAATTTTGCTAGATTGTATTGTGACAGCTGTCATATCAGCATGCATTGGAAAAATCTTATCAAAATTGGTGAATTTTTGTGTGGCCATTTTAATATTGAAGATAGAAGAAATTAAGCATATTATGCTTTATTATTTCAAGTAAGGTAAAAATGCAACTGAAATGCAAAAAAAGGTTTGTGCTGTGTTGGAAAAGGTGCTGTAACTGATCAAACATGTCAAACATGGTTTGTGAAGTTTTATGCTGGAGTTTTCTCGCTGGACGATGCTCCAGGTTGGGCAGACCACTTGAAGTTGATAGTGATCAAATTGAGACATTAACTGAGAACCATCAACATTATGCCATGTGGGAGATAGCTGACATACTCAAAATTTCTAAATCAATAGAAGTTATGGGTGAAAGTAAAAAATATGTCTTTTATTTTATGGAAAAAAAAACATATGGACTTTTTAGCCAACCAGATATATATTTAAAATTCTTAGCTTCTAAATCTAGTTTGAATTTGAGATATACAATACAATAAACTTTATCATTTAAAAATGATGGATATGAATAGTCTTATATCAACTTTTTCATTTTTCAGATTTATTGAGCTCTTTGACTTTATCCAGCAACTAAGGATTCTAATCAACCTCACTCCTAAAGTGAGGATGCTGTTTCTGTTCATTTGGACTGGGGTATGCCCTAGGTTGGGATGAGAGAGCATTCCATACTGAAAGAGGTTATGTGTTTTTCTACAAGTTAGATGAAATTTGTATTTTTTTCCTTGGCTGGGAATGCATTCTGTATAAACAAAGATGTGTTCTACAGCTCCTGAGGTAGAGGAATGAGGAATAAATATACTTATTATGGGAATGAGATTGTCCTGGTCATTACTGGCACAGACTGGAAGTGTGTAGAATGATGTAGAGAGAAGCTAACAATTCTTGAAAACCTACTATGTGCCAGAGACTGTCCCTATTATGTAGTTGCCTTGTCTTGTTTTATTGTCTTAACAATCCCATAAGGCAATTACCATTTTCCTTCATAGATGAATAAACTGAGGCTCAGAGAGGTTAGGTAACTGATCTAAAGTCACAGATCGCAGGCGTGGCGGAGCAGGAACTGAAACAGTGCTTACTCAGATCCCAAGGCCAGTCCCTTTCTGTGTCCCTCGCTGCCCGTGTATGGACTAAGGCAGGCTAGGGGCCTGAACCCCATATTAGGGGCAGGGTCTAGTCATTGAATGAAGTCCATTGTATTTCTTTAAGTTTTGGGACAATGAGAATGTCAAAATGGAAAGAGACTTCGGGGCCCAGTCAGGTTTTTGTTTAACCACTTGTTTTCTCACCTCATTGGCCGAGCCCTTCACCTTGAATGTGGAGTGGGGGTTGGTGTTCATTCAGTATGTGGAGCAGTACTCATGCTGACAGGCACTGAGCTTCTCAAGAGCTCGAAGGAAGCTCTGTTTTTCTTTTTAGCATCAGCCATGCTCCAACAGCGACACTGTTGTTGTTTAGGAGCTTTAATACTCCTTGCTTCAAATGGATTACTTCTTTGTTATTTTAATATAACATCATTGTTCATCTGGCTGATTTGAAATGTGAAGGAGACTAATCCTGTGTGATAATGACATTCAAGAATAACACCAAATCTATAGGGATATTCAGGGCATTTTCTTTAAAAAGTTAATTTTTTTTTAATCTGTGCTAACAATCTTTTATCCTTTTTCAGAGAATTTCACCATTTTAATGAGTTGGTACTGTTTTGCTGATAGGTGCAGAGATATGTAAAAAGAAAATGTGTTTTCCCCTTTTCATGGACTTTTAAAATGTTCAGAATTTTTATTCACTATACTTTATTCTGTCTTATGTTTTTCTATGGTGCAAGCCAAATTTCATTTGCTTTAAAGTGACAATAAATACATTTCTTTTAGGCAAACCAAAGATCATGGTATTCAGATACACTGATTGGATTTCCTCCTCCAATGATTAAAGTTTATGCTGTGAATGTGAGCAGGTGGTTTGACTCTGGGGCAAGCAGTGGGCACCTCAGCGTTCTTTGTCAGCAGGCATTTGAATGCCTTTGACAGAACTTCCTATCTGAGTATTTAGATTCCCCTTCTCTCTACTGGTAAAGGTGTGTGCTTTTATGTAGTTTTTTATGATTCATTTATCAAATGTCTATTACGTGCCAGACACAGGGTTACCTTACATCCATTCACATCTCATTTAGTCCTCGCAACCACCCCATGAAATAGTTATAGCATAGGCTGAGAATATTCTCTTTATTTTTCAGAATAGGAATCTGGAGTTTGGGTAGATCAACTTCCCATGGTTACACTAGCAGGGCTCACCAGATCTCTTTGCCTTTTTCAACTCAAAGCTTGCCAGGGAGTAAACTAGCTGCAGAGTTTTAGGAGGTGAGGCTGGTAAAGTGGTGGAGGACTTTGAATGTTATTCTAAGTGAGACACCAAATGGTGGATTCATTTGTATCAATTGGGCACCTCATGTGTGTCCAACAGTCTAAGCACTGGGGGCATCGCAGTGAATCAAAAGACATAGACCCCTGCCTTCCAGAAGTTTATATTCTGGTTGTTAGAGTGTTTGAGCAGAGAAATGGCATGATCTGGTTGAAGTTTAACAAAGCTCCTGCGGGGTGCAGTATGGAACATCACCTGCAGGGGGTGAAGACTATGGCAGGAAGACAAGTTGGAAATGACTACAACAATCCAGGCAGAAGAGGGTGGGGACTTGGACCAGAGTAATAGCAGAAGTGAGAAATTCTATTCTACATAGACTTAGAAGAAAACACCAATGGGATTTGCTGAGCAACAGGGTATGGACATGGCTTGCCCAGGCTTTAACTTGAACTTGGGTCAATATGCATCCTATACCTGCGCTTCTTTAGTTACATTACAATGCTCAAGTGTAAAGTGGCTTCACGACAATCTTCAGTTTAGTGGAAAATGTAGCTACTTTTCAGCTCCTTACCACAAGGCTTATAAAAGGAGAACACCATCGGTGCTGGAGGAGGTAGGCCAGCACTTCATTTCCCAGGAGCAGTTATCATCCGGGCTGCAGCTGCCCGGCCTGCTCCCTGGGAGGCCATGTGCCTTGGTGGTGGCACTGTGTGGATATATGTGGGATTTGCCATGTGTCCATCTCAGAGCCACTCAAAGTCTTTCCCTACGGCTTCCCTGTGGTGAGGCTGAAGGATGGATCCTCTTAAGATTTAAGCCCCACTTCATGTTTTTTGGCCTGTGTTATTCCTCTGAAACAATATTATGAGGTCTGAATCAGACCAGGTTTTAATTCTTGGTCACAAACTGGGACTTTTAGTCTATTATCATCTCATGTTTTATAAGTTTTGGAAACAGAACTTCCTTGTAGATAGTTTTTGCTGAGCAGACACTGTCACCCCAAAATGGTTCTACATATATCAGATCTGTCACTAACTTTAATAATTCTGAGATACAAATTTGTATGTTTCAAGTCAATGAAATTCCCACCAAGCTGCTTATGCGGCAATAAGGTGAATAAAATGTCACTTTCATTCCATTCATTTTCATTGACCTTAATGGAATGACCTTATAGTTGCAAGCTGCAGAGCAAAACAGCCATGGGTGAACATAAATGTTGCCTCTGTTTCGCAGCAATTACATTACTGGGAATAGCATGGGGAGCCAGCTATACTCTGGACTTAGAACAAAAACAGTCCCCTACCCACCTTATCTTGAAATGGAGTCAAATGATTGGGTGTCAGTGAATCACTGGAAGACCCCATGAACTGCGTAGAGTTCCCCGAACTACATCTTCTGTGTGTGCGCTAACATCCCACCGAACATGGGGTCTGGTACAGCAGAATTTCCAGATAAAGATATGGCTAGAGGCTCTCCCTTCCTGGCCTGCAGACAGCTGGAGATCAGCATGAGGGTGCTCCTTGCCTGGGCTGGTCACACTCCAAATCAGGCAGCCACACCACCAAGAGATGACTGTGTGTGCCTCTGGTTCCTTTCTGCCTCCAGGGTGCAGGTGGGAGGCCTTGCCATTTTAAGAAAGTTAAAATCAACCAAAAGTCACTTACTTTATTATTTTCCTCAGGGCTGCGTCCAAAGAGGACTCTACGTTTGGTGCTCTGGACTGCAGAAGAGCAGGGTGGAATCGGTGCTCTCCAGTATTATCAGTCACACAAGGTAAGAGCAGCCACGATTGTTGGGCATCTTCACATGTAGTGACAGTGTAAATAAAAATGCCCTCTACTGTCCCGAAGACTCTCAACAGTACTTTGTGGTAAGCTGACCCCAGCAAGCATCTCTTATAAAGGCCTTCATCCAGTCCATGCAGGAAATGCACTGGTGAGCTGATGGTGCTGTGGTGTGGAGCTGAGGCCTTCCACGTTAGTCTGTGGCCTTAGAAAAATCCCAACTGCTGTGCTGCCATTTTCTTAAAGGCTGTCAGTCCTGCTACACTCATGTATGCTGAGAAACTGTAGTAACAAGTAAGCATGCCCTCTTTGCACCGAGCCTACTCCCACACTTGGATGCCCTAAATCCTCCTGGGAGCACTGGTGTTTAAGAGCCAACTCCCAAGGCTTTGAGTCATGCATGGGCATGGATAGTGGTGGTGGGAATGGCAGCAGCCTGGGGTTTCAGACACTATCATATAACAAAAGTGGAGCCTGAGGCAAGAAGGTGATAGTGGAAGATCACTATTGGAAATACAACACCCCATTTAAGATGGGAGACAGGGAGATTAATGTCAAGTTCAACCTTTGAGGGAGGGGAAAGTGTATAAGCTCAGAAGTATTCTGTATCAAATCGAATGTTAGGTCGAGGAGGAATTCCCAAACCAGTGGGCGTGCTGCTGAGCAGTGATGTTTGGGCAGAGGAGCCGGGTCTGGTCTGCTCCTGCTGCTCCACCTCCAGACTGGAAGGAACAGACATGTCATTTTAAATTATGAAAATCAGACAGTGTTTAATGGTTTTCTGAATTATGGTTATTTCAATTAGTTGGAGCTTAAGAATAATGAGTTCACTCATGAATTCGGTCACTGAATGTGACCGAATTTGGTCACTGAATGTAGTTATTTATCATACAAAGAAAAACCATGCTTTATGCTGAATTCTGTCACCACTTACAGTTCTTTTGGCCTCACGTCATCCTGGAGAATAGATAATTATACATAAGTGTTCTTTGGTTTGTGGGTCAGTAGCATCATCTTCTGTATGTTGTAGTAGACTAGAACATCACATGAGAGTGATTCATAACAATCAGTCAATATTTCTGACCACCTACTATGTTTCATATACTATACAGGGCATTAGGTTTAGTATCATTAAGACAATTAACCATAACCTTTTTGAGATTTCCATCTAAAGGACATTGAACTTCAGTTGTTACTTCACTTTAACAGAACTCTTCAGTTGTGTCAAGTGTTCTGATAAATAAAGTATTGATGGCAGAAGTAGGAAGCTCCCCTATCCTGGCTTTGGGGAACCATCAGAATAGGCTACATGGAAAAAAATGACATGTAAGTGGAGACCTGAAGACTTAATAGAGATAAACTAAGGAAAAGGAGTTGGCAGGAAGGAGGTGAGTACTTGGTAGCGGGAACTATGTGCAAAGGCTGGAGGGAAAGAGAACACAGCACAGGGAGAAACTGGAAGGCATTCTGAACAGCTAGGGCATAAAATGTAAGCTGCATCATGGTAGGAGCAGAGAACAGAGAGGTAAACACAGGCCCGAGCCAGAAGAATGTATAAATTATGTTTAGAAGTTTGTATTGTACTTTCTCTTTAGGCAAGTAGCATAACTGAGCAATTTTTAAGGAGGAGATTTTAGGTTCTATATTATAGACTCTTGGACCCTATTTAAAAAAAACAAAAACAAAAAAACACACAACAGAATACCTAAAGAGTTGTTTGAAGCATGTTTATTTCTGGTAATCTATTCCAAGAAAAAAATTGGATTTAAACTGCAATAAATCAGGCTCAAAACTTCTTCAACCACTCAAATTTTTTTAGATCTCAAAAAAAAGATTTATTTCTCTGTAAATTTTTGAATTTCACTTTAGCCTACTAAAATACATGGGTGAAATTAGAAACTCTCAGGTTGGTGAGTTTCAAAGGACTTACTCAGTATTCTCATGATTAACATATTGCCATAAGCATTGAAAAGAGTGTAATCACTTCTGGGGTGGCTGAATTTAACTTTAGGTAACTATAACAAAGAAGTCACAGCCAGCAAGGATAAATCAGATTGTCTTTAGTCTCTTCTATAGAGAAAATAGTAAAAATAAATTCATTTCAGTCCAGTCAGAACAGAGAAATCTTTTGTTTTAAACAAGGATCTGCTGAAACAAGCTCTAAAATTTCAGTGATTTAACAAGATAGAAATGTATTTCTTGTTCAATGTACAGGAGGGCTGTGCTCCACAGAGGCATTCAGGGGTCCAGGTTCATAGTCTCTTTAGCAACATGGCTTTTAATATCACCTGGAGCATCAATATCCAGCTGGCAGTCAGGGGGAAAATGAGAGGTCTTCATGGAGCGGTTCTTGGAGTGGAGATGGAGAGGCAAAGAGAGAGTTTATGATTGCTTAACTGAAGTCCAAAAGGACTCTCATCCACCATTATCCATGGTTACCTCCAAGAGAAAACTAGGATTAGATTGATATAGTGAGTCACATAACTGTATAGTGTTAATTTTTATGAAATAAAAATAGTATTTGTACAATGAAAGGAAAAATTAAGTAAAAGAACAGAGGCATCAGTAAACATTTACTTGACAGAAGTTTTTATTTCATTTTAAAGAGAATGTCCTATCTTATAAACCACAAGTGGCAGGCAAATCTTTCCTCCTCCAGCAAACACTCATCCAAACATTTGAAATTCAAAGAGAGAATGGGTACCGCCTCTGAGCTTTTCAGGCCTTGCATTTTACCTTCTCCTTTCACATAAAAAACTAAATACACAGCTGACCATCGGGAGAACTGGTTCTAGTCTTTGTTCTCCCACTAACTAGATATTAGTAATCAATAGTGAGTTCCTTTGGCTTCTTAGAGACTCAGTTCTCTCACCTCAGCTCATTAAAGTTTACCTCCCCAGTCAACCCTCACAATGAAGGCAGACTCCTAGGTAATCATTATGTTTTGCTCTGTTGAGTACGTAAGTTGTAGTGTTATTTACAATTAAAATGTACGATCAAGCATGCCATTCTAAGTTCAGGTATGACTGAGAAAACAAAGGCAATCTAACCTTTAGTTCTACAACCATAGACTGGTAAACTACTACATTGAAGGTTCACAATAAGCACTCCAGCCTGAGAGAAGTTAAATCCATCATCTCTGTCACAGTTGCTCCTCCTCCTCCATTTATTATTTGTGTTAATGACAGCATCGTCCTTTCCCTGTGTGTCACAATGTCACTGACATTTTTTTCTTCTTCCTCTTCTATGTTCCCCACGTCTAATCAGCACTATTGATTCTATGTTCTATCACTTTAGATACATCTTTCATTTCTAGGTTTTCTGTTGTTTTTCTAGTTCCAGCTTTCTGTCGCCCATCATACCAAGTTAGTCTTCCTGAAACCCAGCTCAAATCCAATACACTTTCTGCACCAAAGCTTTGGTTGTTTCTCAGAGCTGAGAGAATCCAGTCCAAACTCCTTAGCTTGGCCCTCTTGGTTTTCCATGCCATGGTTTCCATGTCACCATTCTCCTCAATGCCCTCTACTCTGACAAAAATGGAGAGCTTTTCATACATCCCACACTGGCCTTCCTTTGTATCATTAATTGTACAGTTCCTTTTCCTTGAATTTCCGTCCTTCTCATTCTGCATGTTCTTCAAGGGTGAACCAAAATGCCCTCTTTCCCACAGAACTAACTCTTCAACCCCTGACTGAACATAATCTCCATATCCTTGAAATTAATAATTCCTTATATGGACATTTCTAAGGATGTGGGATAATTTCTAATTTATAGGAAGGAAGGAAGGAAGGGAGGAAAGAAGGAAGGAGGGAGGGGAGGAAGAAGGAAAGGAAAGGAGAAAAAGAAATGACAGTCTTAAGCTGTGAGGACCTTGCTTTCTACTTAAAAATTAACTTTAAACACATGAATAAGAAATTTGGTGTAATAAACAATATACAATAGATTCTAAATAAGTTACTAAAAATATCTTACTTTGGGGAAGGCCTCTATCACTGTCAGGGTACAGAGTGGTAAAAAAAAAGCTTAATGCAGTAAATGTAAAGGAGTTAGAAAAGGGATAAATGGCTATGACATGTATGTCATGAGGAGGGCTTGGGACCTAATCCTTAAGGAATGCATAGATTTGAGCGAGTCAGCAGGAGGGGAGAAAAGGGAGAGCCAGTCCCCTTTATAAAAATGCCTGTAAGCGTTTTGGTGGCAGATACTAAGTAAAATAACTCAAATGATAAATAGTGAGTTTTTCACTATATTTTGTAGTCAACTGAAGCAGAAATCATTCCTGGAGGCCACCCATCATGCCCTTAACAATTCGTAGCAAAAAGTCCCATAAAGGAAGTATATGCATTTTTTCTTATTTAAAGAATGCTACTTTACATATATTCTGATAAGTTGTAAAATTTTTTTCTCCTCGTTTTAAAATTCTTCCCATTATCTCTCTTTCTTCACATTAACACATGAACTTGAGAATTATTTATATGTAGATTGTATGTGCTTTATGTTTATAGATTTAGAAGTAACATTTTTTATGCCGAGTGTTTTATTGAGATATACATAGCATTCAGTCATACAAATGCACAGATCTTCAGTGCAGAGCCCAGTGTATTTGGTAAATGTATACTCCTGTGTAGTCATCACCCAAATCAAGGTGTAGAGCATTCCTGTGACCCAGGAAGTTTCCCTATTAGGCCAACCTGTGGCTCTCCCGAAGTCAACTATTATGCTGATTTCTATCACCACAGAAGGTTATGCCTGTGCTTGAACTGTATATAAATGGAACCATGCCATTTGTACTCTTAAGTCTTGCTTCTTGCCAGACTTAACAGTATGGTGTTTGGGAATTCATCATGTCGTTGCCTTAACAGTGGTTTGTCTCTGCTGCAGAGTCATTTTGTGTTGTATGCGTGTACCACAACTTATCCAGTCTCCTGTGGATAGACATGTTAGTTATTATAAATAAGACTGTTGTAGACACTTTTGTACAAACCTTTT